AAAATATGATGGGGACGACTTTTTGCGGTATGTTTGGAATCTGCTTTCCGTATTTTCATTGTTTCGCTCAACGACCTAACCCCCGGCCTCTTAGATGGGGTCAGAGTAGGTGGGGTTGGAGGATTGTGCCGCATCGCCGATGCATTGGCGATGCGGCTCGATGCGGAGCCCGGTTTGCTTCACGTCGACGTCGCCGATAAATCGACGATGCATCGATGAATCGACGATGCATCGCCGATGTATCGGCGATGCGGCGCGATCCTGGCGTTGCAATGTTTTCACAGCGGGCATTGTCCCTCAATATCGGGCCCCGGGACCCTCACAGATCGATCCCGCTCGAAAAAGGATGCAGAAAGGTGGAGTCCGGGGCTCCGGTGGTGATTGTTTGCGATGTTGTCATTTGTTTGCAACGTCGGATCTCAGGGCAGGAGGGAAGAACAGGCACAGACGCAAGCAATCGTCGAGCTCCAGGAAAGTATGGCAAAAGGTGGGAGATGGAGGGGAAGACACAGAACCCAGAACACACTGCCAGAGATTGGGAATCCTGGAGCGTTTGTCAATTGAATGCCATCCTGGGCCCTATTCAGCCCCTGCGGGCCGCTATGGATCCAGACCTCCAAGGCATAGCAAATATCAAGACACCGGTTTTTCGCAGTGTTCGGCCTTTTTCGCAGTCCTCGCCGGGCCCCTGGGCCGTCAAAAAACAGCGCGGGATAGAACACCGGCCCCAGAGAAGGGGTCCATCTTGCGAAAAAGACGCGACGCTGAAGATCTGGAGAATCCAGTCTCCAGGACTCCCAAATGGGATCCGAGTGATTGGGAATGTGGACGTCGGACCCCGCATGCTCGGACCCCGCCTGTGGGGCCTCCCACAGAGGGCGTTTACTTTAGACTCAGGCAGGTTCACCTGCATGGCATTCCCCTCCCCGTCCCCTCCGCCGCCTTTTCGCGCAGCGCTGGGCCGAAAAGTCGTGCAAGTGTGTCCCGACGAGCGTGGAGTTCAGATTCTTTTCGGGCCTCGCCACGCACCCCACCCCCCTCCCGCCTCCATGCAAGAAAACTTGCCAGGGTTTCCTGGAAAGCTGCCTACTGCGGGCCGCCATAACTCCAGGCCTCCTGAATGGGGTCCGAGTGGCTGTCGGACCCCATGTGATACTCGGACTCCGCTTGGGAGGCCTCCCGTGAAGGAGAACGGGGACGGGCTTTCGGACGGTCTCGTTGGGCCCTGGAGGTTTCCCACCCCTGGGATGCTTTCCAGTAGCTGCGCCCCACCGAGAGATTTCAGGCGGTGCCCGAAGCTTCCCAGGCCGCCCAGAGAAAACCACCCAGAACCCAAGCCACGCAGATGGAGTCCGAGCATAGATGGAGTCAGCGGATGGTGCCACATCGCCGATGTGCCGGAGATGCAGCTTGATGAGGAGCCCTGTTTTCTCAAAGCATCGCCAACGTCACCGATGCATCGGCGATGCGGCTGGATGAGCAGCCTGGTTTTCTCCAAGCATCGCCGACGCCACCGATGCATCGGCGATGCGGCTTGATGAGCAGCCTGGCTTTCTCCAAGCATCGCCGACGCCACCGGTGCATCGGCGATGCGGCTTGATGAAGAGCCTGGTTTCTCCAAACGCCGACGCCTCCTCCTCCTCCTCCTCCTCCTCCTCCCCCTCCTCATCCCCCCTCTCCTCCTCCTCCTCCTCCTCCTCCTCCTCCTCCTCCTCCTCCTCCTCCTCCTCCGACGCATTGCATCAGTGATGCAGCGCAATCCTCCGACCCATCTACGCTGACCTATCTGGGGGGCATCCAACGAAGTACGCTCGTAGCTCCAACGTGTTGTAGTGTCGGTGTCGACAGGACGTGTTCGGGCTCCGGCTGTGTGAACAATAACGATCTGGCGCGAAACATTGTCCCCGGCAAGGTTTGGAGAGGTCCAGGGAACCCATGCCACGTTGCAAAACAAGCATGTCGTCAGAGGTCCCCTCCTGCCTTCCGCCCTCCCTCTTTCGCCCTCTCCGATCTTCTTTCTCTCGTCCTCCTTTTCACTCCCTCCCTCGCCCTCCTCCTGGCATCCCTCCCCAAAACTATTCCCCCTTTCCTCATGCTGCCCTCCCTTCCCCCCTCATCCTCATTCCTCCTTCCCTTTTCATTCTCTTCGGAGCCGCCCTGGATTCATTCGAACTTTGAAGCCCTTCGCATGTTGCGTTTCTACATGTTCCAACGCATCCTTCACTCCTCCTCCTCCTCCTTCTCCTCCTCCTCCTCCTCCTTATCATCATCATCCTTCCTCACTCCTTCCCTCCATCCCTTCAGCCCCAACCCCCGTCCTTCGTCCACAACCTCTGTGTCTTCTGATGATTATTTTTCTTCTTCGTCTCCTCCCCTTCACCTTTGTCAAGGTTTCCGTTATCACCCTCCCCCCCTTTAACCCCAATCATCCCGCCCTCCCTCCCTCCCCGTCCCCCCTCCCCCTCTTGCCTTCCCTGTTCCCCCGACACACGCTTGCACCGCTCGCGCACTAAGCATCAGCGATTTGATCATTGTTGGGATGTTCCGCCATGACCTTTTGGCCAGTAGTTTGGCTTGACCGTGACGAAATTCACACACGGAGAAAGATGCTGCATTACAGCCCTCGTGAACCAAAAGTGCGAATGAAGGGCCCATGCCATCGGAAACGTACATGCAGACGACTTGTGTTCTTCATATCTGCGCCTCATCATCAACATCGTTCTCAGCGCAACTGCCGCTGATCAGACCGAGGAGGAGGACACGACAATACGACACCATGATTAGGACATCGATGCAATCCTTGAGACCACTGCGCTCAGAGCTGCTAACGCGAGTGAATACGATCGTGTGCCGACACAACTTACTACGGGACACATGTGCGCCATCACTCCGTAGCCATTTGGGCTCTCATTCTTGTCCTCATCCTCCCTCCTCCCCCTTTCCTTCACCCCCGCCTCTTCCCCCTTCTGTTCCTCCTCGCCCAACTCACGCTCACACTTCCTGATTATCCCGCCTCCCCGAGATACGATGTGCTGTTATTTTGTTGCTTTGAGTGCGGGGTCCCCAACAGTCCCGACCCCTTCCGCGGGACTGGCTTGTTATCCCGAGCTGTCGTCGACGGTCCAGGAGCCTGGCCAGGGAGCCCCCGGAGGCCGGAAACGGCAGACAACAGTTCAGAGCATTGAGCTCTTCAAGACTTTTGAGGTTTTTGGCTCCTCCTCCTCCGCCTCCCTGCTTCTCTCAAGGGAGGAAAAAACCACCCGGACCCGACAACTTCTGTTTATTACACGGCCTTGGGCGTCTACTAGTGAGCCCTGCCCTGTTCGATTTCTTCCTTGGGTGCGTTTACTAAACAGCTTCGCTTGTCGGGGGCATCATGATTATGGGGGTGGATTGTCTGCCCTCTACTCTCCCTCCTCTCGGCGGCACAACCAGAGGGAAAGGCACGGGGGGTGGGCTTCTCCTCCGCCGTCCTGCTTCTCCCTCCTCACGGCGGCGCGCCCAGGGGTGAAGTCACGGGGGGGGGGCTTCTCAGAAGGCTCAGAAGGCTTCCGGCCTTTGAGGAGCTTTCGTAGTACAGTGAACCCGCATAGTAAGGATGGGCAACCTTCCCGAGGGTACTTTTGCATCCTCGCCTCCTCGGTCCATCACTCGCCATTTTCGTTGGCCGCGTCCCGCTCGAAAAGCTTCAAAATGAGTGACCAGGGCCCTTGCATCCTTATCGCGCATCCGTGTGATACGGACCGACTGTAAGAAGCCTTGTGAGGGCCTCTCAGGAGCCCCGCGGATCCTCCGAGAAGCCCCGCCGCCTCCTGAGAGTGACAACCCCCTCTCACTTCCCCAGTCGGCGCGGCTTTCTCAGCAGGCTCAGAAGGCTTCCGGCCTTTGGGGAGCCCTCTTAGCAAGAAGCCTTGTCAGGGCCTCTCAAGAGCCCCGCGGGTTATGATGTTCCAACTCACTTCAGCCTTGATCACCAGAAAGAATTTCGAGCACCAGAAAAAAGTACCGAAACTCAAGGGTTTCCACGTGTCGGGCCCTGGGAGACACTCGTCCGACACTGTTCTGGCACTCTTTCGACACTCTTTCGACACGTTTCTGGGTGCCCGACATTATTTCCGGGATGTGGTCCCCAAGTACGAGGGGAGCAGCAGAACCCGCGGGCCCTCTGAGAAGCCCCGCCGCCTCCTGAGAGTGCTAAAGGCCCTTCTCGCTTCCCCGCTCGGCGCGCCGCCGGCCCTGCTCCCCAGGCTTACGTCGGACTTATCCTTCTACAGGAGGGAAATTCAAAACATATTGTTTAACAAATTGTATGGGGACGATGTTTGACAATTGTTTGACTATGTTTGAACATGTTTTGATTCTGTTTTCGTCCAAAACCCGCCTGTAGGTGGACACGCCCGACCTAACCCCAGGCCCCTGACGCCATGATTTTTCGACAAAGTGCACCCCTGGAGGCCTCGACCAGACCCCCCGATACAGAAATAGTCAAAAATATCAAGGGGCGATGTTTCTGTTATGTGTCGCTATGTTTAAATATGTTTTGACATGTTCTGTGTTTGAATATGCTTTGACATGTTTCTATCCTTTCCTACACAATACGCCTGTAGGAGGACATGCCCGACCTAACCTGATTCGTTGCCGGTCTTGGGGCCCGGCAAGGGCCCCCTCGGGCCCCGAAAATTGCAAGAAAGAGTATCAGACCGCGATTAATGGGGGGTCAGTGCATGAGGGGGGCAGCGAAGGCTGCCGAAAAGGGGCCCTATAGGGCCCCTGAAGGGGCCCTTTGCGGCCCAGAAGGGGGCCCCTAGGGCCCGAATAGGGCACCGTTCTTCCCCCCCAGTATCGCCCACCTATGAGTTCGCGCCCGAGAAGCTTTCCGTGGTGATCTGTTCGAGACGCGAGGGGTTCTGGATCCCCATTCCCGTTCCTGGGAGGCCCCACAACCGCCCAGCCATTTGTCGTCCCGCCGAGAGGCCCAGAAGCCCCGCTGCCGCGGCGAGATGGAGGCGGCCGGCGCACCCCTGGCCCCCGACGGCGCTGCGCGGGAGTTGCGCGTGCTGACCACGGGCGCCCAGCAGGGGGAGGGGGGGAGGGGGCTGGAGCTGGGACTCGAGCTCGGCCTCGGGCTCGGCTCGGGCGGCTTCGGCACGTGCCTCGGGCTCGGGGCAAGGCTCGAGCTCCAGCTCGGGCCGGAGAGCAGAGGCACGAGACGGGGCTCGGGCTCGGGGCATCGGGGCATCGGGCGTGCGCTCGGGCTCGGGCCCGGAGCCTGGGCCCCGGGCTCCGGGAAGAGCGGGGGGAGGGCGGGGAGGGAGCAGGGGCTTGGACTCGATACTGGATGCCTCGCTCGTGACTCCAAGACAGGCCAGCAGGAGGAGCGGGGGTGGACCCCCCACCCCCGCCTGCCCCGCTCGGGACACGACTGCGCGGCCGGCCGAGGCGGGGGCCTACCGAGGGTCGCTCCCCGCGCCGGCCGGCCAACACCCGCAGCCAGCGCGGGTCCCTGCCCGTCCCCACCACGCCGAGGGCACCACGGCGGGTGGAGGAAGCGGAGAAGGAGAGGGGATAGCGGGGGAGGGCAAAAGGAGAGGAGGAGGAGGATGAGGAGGAGGAGGAGGAGGAGGAGGAGGAGGAGGAGGAGGAGGAGGAGTCGGGCGAAAAGCAGGGAGCGGAGGAGGGAGAGCGAGGAGGACGAGGAAGAGGAGGAGGAGGAGGAGGAGGAGGAGGAGGAGGAGGAGGAGGAGGAGGAGTAGGAGGAGGACACTCCGGCGGCTCCCTGGAGGGGGGCCGTGGAAATCTTCGGAAGAGCCCTGGGGGGCTCCAAAGGACCTCGCGGGGATCTCCGTTGAATGTCAAATTTCATGTATGTATCAATGTTGACGATTGTCTGCAGGAGCAAATCCTCATCATCCTCCTCGGGAGGGCCGTTGAGGGAGAAGAGGCCTGGAGATCCGACTCCGCCGGAAGTCTCGAACATGTTCCCAGGGCCAGCTTTTCACTTTGAGTTGTTGTTTGCCTGCCCCGAGGCCAGGCGAGGGCCCTCAGAGGCCAAACGCGCTGAGGAATAAACGCATTGATTGTTTACATGCGTGGGAGGTCTGACAGGAGGAGGAGGAGGAGGAGGAGGAGGAGGAGGAGCAGGAGCAGGAGAAGGAGGAGGAGCAGGAGCATGAGAAGGAGGAGGAAGAGGAGGCCCCCCGGCGCACCGCAGGCACAGCTGGGGGCCCATCTCTCTTGCAGGGCACGGTGATGCTGCAGCCTGGCCAGCTGCGCAGGCGGCCCACCCAACGGCGCACGGCCCATCCCGCCTCCACCCGGTAGGCAGCGGTGCCCGCGGTTCGGTCGGCCTGGTGTGCCCGAGTCGTCCCCGAACGACCGCTGGGGGCCCAAGATGGTACCAGACAAAGCCAGACGAAGAGGATTGCCAAGCTGCGTCGCTGCGCCCTTCAAGGCCACTTGCGGCCTGTCGTGCTCGGTCGGCCTCGGTTTCGTTGCCCACTCGGTTTTGTTGTTGGTGATGTTGTCGCCGTGGACGGCCTTGCTGGGCGAGGAGGCGAGGAGGAGAAACACCAGCAGGGATGAGCGAGGACAGGGATGAGCGAGGATAGGCGCGCGTGTGGCGCGCACTGTACGATTCATCAGAATTGAAGGGGTGCGCGATGGCTGCTGAATGATTTCGACATGCCTGCGCGCGCGTGCCGACCGCATGGCCTCTCCTGACAGACTGGCAGAATAACGTATGGCGTTGGTGTGATTACAGCGAGCGTGCTCACACAGAGATCTGACAGCTTCTTCACGAAGCAACAATCGTGGCTAACATATGTTGTTCTGAATTCCTCGGGCACCCATCGTGTTGGACAGATTTGACCTGTGCTCGCAGGTGGTCCGCACAGTATCAGATGGTCGACTTCTGACAACCCGCACTCCTTAGATCAGCGCCCGTGCAACGCCTTATATATGTTGACAGGATGAGGGCGGCTGGTATGGTGTAATTCGAGGCGCCTCGCGTATCCCCACCAGCCCATCCAGAAACGACGCCCAGGCGACTAGAGGGTCGTCCTGAGAGGCTTTTCGGCGTCTTGGGTGCTTCGGGGGGGCCTCTTTGGGCCGCTTGGGATCCTCCTGGGGGCCTCCTGGGGGCCTCTTGGGGCCTCTTGGGGCCATCTTGGAGGACATCGATCAAAGAAGAGGGGAGCTTCAATTAGGGTTGCCCCCTCAGGAGGCCTAAATGGGGCCAACACCCTAGTAAAATAAATGATTCTGGCTTCAAAGAAGAGGGGAGCTTCAATTAGGGTTGCCCCCTCAGGAGGCCAAAATGGGGCCAAAACCATAGTAAAATAAATGATTCTGGCTTCAAAGAAGAGGGGAGCTTCAATTAGGGTTGCCCCCTCAGGAGGCCAAAATGGGGCCAAAACCTGAGTCAAATCAATGATTTTGGCTTCCTCGCCGAGGCCGTTTTGGACGCCCTGACCGCTCGCGGCCCCCTCCGTCCAGGTCCAC